TGAAAAAGACTTTCCTGCTAAATTTACACTGTCCCTCCTGTCAAAATGTTCAGCCTCTCAAAATCCTTTGAACCAACGTTTTACACTTCCTTCTCAAAACATGGCTTCTTCCTTGTTAGTCACAAACTTCACTCATCATTTTTATACAAGAATGGCTTAAAATGATTTGATTTTAAAATGTTATTTTAAACCATTCATTCACAAAACAATAATTAAATTACAAAACATAAAACAAAGCAATAACATATATCAGTATCTTCCCTTAAAATCCAAACACCTTACTGTGGCTTACAAGACTTTGTCATCTGAGAATACTTTCTGCCTCACCAACCACATCAACCATAACAGAGAAGCCAAATCTTTGAGTTATCTGTTATTTGAACACATCAATCTTATTTTCATCTAAGGCCTTTTGTTCATGTTGTTCAAAATTATTGAATATCAGTTATTTCTAGTATTTTAGTTCTTCCTTTGTCCTTGTGTGGTTTTAGTTTAACTCAGACAGGTATTCCTGAATCTAGGCAGAAATGTTCCCTTTTACTTTCCTTCATATTTTCTCCTCTCCCTTCTCCCACCCCTGTTCTGCTTTTGATCTGACCAAAACTTGAAATTTCTTAATTATTTTTTAAGCTCTTTGGTCCAGATAGGAGATAAAACCCACTTCCTCAGAGTTAAAAAAAAAAAAAAAAGTATCAATTCCCTATACCCCTTGTATTCTGCATTTTGATCTAATTTCAGCTACTTGCATGAATTCACTTTGAATCAAGTGATCTAGTGACTGTTGGGGCAATGGGAAATACCACTGGAAGTGTAGCAGAAGCAGCACAACATTAGTTGTTTTTGGATTGGTGGTCTTGCAGGGCCAGTCAGAGGATTCTGTCCTCTGCCCCAGAAGCAGTGAGCTCAGAACTTTTTTCAGTGTGTTCATGCTGACTGTATAGTGTCTTTTTTAATTCTTATTTGATTTTATGAATTCAATTGTCCAGATTTCTCAGAAAATCTTTAAATTCTCCGACATCTATATACATTTTCCATATGAGAGAGGTTTCAGTTGTTTATTCATAGATATCACCACAAACACTCTCTCTTCCAATTCAATTTTATATATTCAGACAAATTATTTAAATAAAGTCATCTTCCTCATTTATATGGTTTTCACACATTTTAAATGTTTCATTCTATGTCTACTAAGGCATGAAGAAGATATTCATATACACATTTATTCATATTTGTATATTACAAGCTCATTCAATATAAGCGTTGGTATATTTGATAAATCACTGAATTTAAGAGGACTTTTATTTTATTTCCATACCTTTAACTTGTGAGGTATAGAAACTTAAGATTCTAAACTGAGCCTTAATTCTCTTTAAATTGAAGAAATTGTTAGTTTATCCCAACTAATACTTAACATGATTGATACTTATGATGACAATTTTAAAGCAGTACAGGACAGTTTAGTAATTTCTAAGAAATTCACCTAAAAATTTAGCTTTTTCACTTTTGCAACATAGTTAAGCAATTACCAGTCAATATCATCAAGCTAAAGTGGGACTTAGCTTGGCAGAAATAGTATAATGTTCTGGTATATCTGTTATGTTTTTAATATTTATCATTAAAATTATTGAAATGAACACAGATAAACATTAAAAACAAAGTAGCTATACCAAAAGGGAAATTAAAAACTAGATGGGATTTTAATTTGATTTTAACCATATTTCTAGACCATTGCTTTTATAACAGATGGCTTCTATCTAATGTCTAAAATTCCTTCGCATATAAAATTTAACAACCAATTTGTATATTGTGATGCCACTCTTTAATTCACAGAAGATTGCTGCTGTCACCAAAATATTTAATATTTTTATTATGTATAACATTAAAATACATTATTTATTATAACCTATGCTTTCATTTTCCAGATGCATTTATCCCTAAATAAATCAAGATTTTAATGTGTGCAACATGGTCTGAAAAACATAAAACAAGACCTATACAGTTGGTTTTGTTTCAAATATCTAACCTATTAGTATAAATAAGCCCTAGAGCAATGTAGCTAATTTTTCTGACCCTCATCTTCAAAAGTATATGTGATATCTACTTAACAAAGCTGAAATCAGTTGAAACTTAGTGAGATTATGTATGCAAAATATTTCATGAAGTTTCTGGTGTAGATTAACATTTAGTACATTATAATAATCTGAAATGAAATATACATTCACTATTAATTTTCTCTCTCTAACTCTTCCCAAATACAAGTGTGCTTTTGACCAACTCAGTGAAATAAGTATTTTTTTTAACCCATTTGATATTTAGAACAGGAAAAAAAGCTATAGCATTAAAAGTTTAAGTGTTATTTCAGATTATATAACTCTAGGAAAAGAGTTAGTTTATATATGAAGTTTAAGGTAAATCTTCCATCTTTGCCTGGGAAAGAAACAGATTACCACTGCTCAGATAGATACAGAAGAGAAGATGAAGTCAAATTACATGGTGCTTTAGAAAAAGCTATACAAACAGAAATGGTCTTATAAACTGGAGATCTGTCTCTGAGGTTAGTAATAGAATATATGCTTCTCTACAAAGTAACTACTCAATAATTGATCTGGTGAAGTATAAATACATCAGCAGAATTGGTGGGAAATACACAGTTTCTCCATTACAGAAAAATAAACAGAACACATATGAATTCTGAATTTCAGATAAGTAGCATATTTTTGTTTTTAGTCTAACTATGCCTGCAAATGCTTTTGTGACATACAGGTACTAAAAGAAGGGGTTCGTTATTTGAAGTTTAAATTTAACTAGATAGACTATTTTTGTGTGGCAACACTACAGGGGAACACATTACCCCCAAAGGAATATGAAATTCATAATTCTTAAGATATATATTAATTATGAACTTATGTTCTAGTTTACATTTTCAATCATTGGGGTCAATGTCAGATGTCCCAGGGTGTGTCTCCCTAGAAAGTTGAAGGGAATAAGAAGTAGTATATCTATGAATGATTCTTTGTTTAATTATCTGTCTCCTAAGAAGACAAGAATAAACTCCCTTCCCTATAACTGAAGGTAAAGATAGCCTTATTACCTCAGACTAGGGTTTCCCAAGTTTATTTCCCTATGCAAAAATACTGCAAAATCCCTTTCTAAATTGGATCTAAATATAAAAGTTTCTTTTTCCTCTCTTTTCCTCTAAAAATGCTAGCCCCTTTCTGAAAACTATATTATATCACTGTAATTATCAGAAGTTGCATATTGTATGGCCCTCTTTGTGCCTAAAAGTAAATTTGTCATTTTATTTATCTCTTTCCTATTGATTTATTGAGCCAGTCAAAGGTATCAAAGAAGGAGGAGATCCCTCCAAAATTTCCCTAGCACAATCAGTTTTCTTTTGTGAAAACAAAAGAATTATATATAATTCTATTATATAAATCATCTCTTCCTCAAGATATTGATTTATTTTGTGTTGAAATAGATTAAATTTATTTGTAATATCTGTATATGGTCACAGAATGTCTTCATGTGCTTCAGTATGTTTACACTTTAACCATGAAGAAAAAACATAAAGAACTGAATATGAACCTCTGGTTGCTAGTTTTCTGAAAAGATTTACATAGGCTGAAGAAATGAAATAAAAAGTTGCACATTCATATTGAACTCTCCCTAAACATTATTCAATTTCATATATTTGGACCTCATGCCTGGAACTTTACATAATTCAGAAAAAAATCAGAAATGCTTGTAGAAATTAGCCACAAATTATATCACAAAGATGCAATATTTAACTGTAAATGTTTATTTATTTCTCTTAGTAATTATTTGGTGTCCTATTTCATATAATCTTTCAGATATTGATGGATTTTGACCTTTAATTTTCAACACTGGATTTGTATTTAGTCTCAATGGATGTTATCTGTCCATCTATAAATTAAGGGATAGATGTATATACTTTAGAATATACCACAAAACAATGATATGCTTTAAAAAAAATTCTAAGTCCAACATGCATTTTGTCTTCTTTAATCTGAACTAAGGATTGGCAAACTCTTCCTAAACAGTCCAGATAGCAAATATTTTAGGTTCTGGAGGTCACATGGCCTCTCTAGTAACTATGCAACTCATCCATTAAAGCAGAAGAGCAGGCAGACAATACGAACATGAATGGTGGAGGCAGTATTCCAAAAAAAAAATTATTTGAAAACAACAGAAGACTGGTTTTGGCTGCTGAGTGCAGTTTTTTAATTCAAGTATTTCCAAAAATAATTTCAGTAAAAAGAACTTAGGTATATTTTTAGGTGGCAGGTGTTTCATTTTCTTTCATATTTCTCTCTCTAAATGTTTTTTTTTTTTAACCACCTTTTGTTTCTTATCCACTTTAGACACAAACTCTTGCCACTCTGAGCCTGTGTATGATGCATACCAATCCTTTTATGAGAAATCAGTCTGTTGTAAGAAAGTAAAACAAACCAACAAGCTTATTTAGTAATAGAGTAAATCAAACTAATAAAAATACACAGTCATATGACATTTCTCATGTATCACTATGGAGAAAATGTGATCGTTTTTAACTTTTATAGAAAACCAAGACTTCCACTTATTCTCCTGGGTGATTTCAATTTTCTTTACATCCAGTAAAGATACAACAACAAAGAATAACTGTAACAAATCAATCTCTAAGTGTATTCAGAATTCATCATCAGGTAATCTCTGCCTTTACTATTTGGATTTCAAGTTCTACAGTCTGTTCTTCACAAATGTCTTCACTTTTCTAAGTCTCAGTGTATGTTCAGTATAATTTGTCACACACATTTCCTCTTCCCCCTCTTTCTGTTCCTTCCCCTTCTCTTTTTCTCTCTCCCCACCCCTCACTCTCTCTCACTTTTCATATATTATGCATAGATTCCCAGAGGTCAGTGGAGCTTACTTATCATCAAGTGTTACCTGACTATAATTTAATCAGGAAAGATCTTCAACCGAGAAAAGGAATTATGTCTCACCTTCATGACCAAGGGTCATTTGCAGAGTGTGTTTCTCCTGGGCCAGGGCATATGGGAGTCTTAGTGAATCAGGCAAGAGGATAGTCAAAGGTTAGGTCACTTTTGGTGACATTTTGGGGCTGATTCCTAAGTCTATTTGTTTCTCTCTCTAGTGGGCAAGTCTTCAGACAGAACGCTGCAGTGTGGGGCCTGTTGTCACAATCAGCAGAGAATCTCTTGTCTTCTCATTGTTGTCAAATAGTTTAATCAGGTTTTTAATTTCCACATAAATGTCTCAACATGGGAGTTTACAGATAAGATGATGTCTGCCTGACAGAAAACAGGTTCCACAGGGCAAAACTCACCATGTGTGTTTAACACCTCAAACCAATGGGAATTTTGACTTTTGCCCATGAAACTACGTGTGTGTTTGTCAGTACCAGGCTTACACCAGCAGGGGGACCTGGGGTGGTGGTCGCTTCCACCCAAAGATGAGTCACTTCCGCCCAAAGAGGAAGCTGATGCAACAGTAACCGGATGTAGCAAATCCACGTAAAGCGCATGCGCAGGCTTTCCGATACATATAGCCCCTCCCCTCGAATAAAGAGAGTTCCTGCTTCCAGCCAAGAGAGTGCATGCGTTTTTTCATCCCCAGCCCCTCTGCCGTGTTCCTGAACCCCGTTGGCCTGCAGGCAGGACCGGCAGTGGCGCCCGAACGTGGGGCACGAGTACGAGGGATCCTCTGAGGGATCCTCCGATCAATCAGTAAGGTAAGGATTAGGTAAGTGATCGGCATCATGGGCAATACCATGTCCAAGGGCCAACTTGTTAGAGCCCTACAACTTCTGCTTAAACATTATGGAACTCCCATTAAGGTTCAGACCCTTAATGATCTAGTCTCAGTCCTCGCAAATACCAGCAAATGGTTCTTTCAGCAGGACACCGTCTCAGTAAGAAACTGGGAAAAGGTCAAAGCAGACTTCCTTCTTTACAGGGACCTTTATGGACCCCAAACTGTCCCCCCCCGTATTTTTTCTGTGTGGCAGCTAGTCCATGATGCCCTTAGTGATGGGGGAGCAGCTGCTTATGAACTAGTGGCTGAGGTATTGCACTCTGCAGCTCAGTCCGAAAGCAAAAAGCCTGCCACATACTTGGCCGCAGCAAGCTCAGCCATAGAAACCCCCCCTTCTCAATCCTCAAATCCGGGGAGAGATTCCTCTTCAGACGAGGGGAATGTGGAGGACAATACAGACTATCTACCTCCCTATGATAGACCACCCCCATCAACCAAAAATCGGCGGCATCCCTCCCCCACCACTCTCCCCTCTGCCCCTCCACTCAACTCCCATGGCTCTGACCCAGACCTTCCTGGGCTTATACAGTCCCTAACTTCTGTTCTTTCAAGATTTGTACCCTCCAACTCTGAAAATTCTTGGGAATCCCTTCTGGCCTGCCCGGTCTCAGTTGTTCAAAATGATCAGGGACAGCAGGTCCGGCAACATTCGGCACTGCCTTTCCAAGACCTCAAGCTCTTAAAAGAATCTATCAGAGACTATGGACTTCAGAGCCCTTTTGTTCACCAAATGTTAGACACCTTTGAAACCTTTATCATGACACCCAATGACTGGAAGGACACTTACCGCGCGGTTTTGAGCCCAGGGGATTATCTTTTGTGCAAGGGTCAGTTTACAGAACTCTGTGACCAGTATGCTCAAACCAATATTCAAAGAGGTTTTCCCCAACAAACTAAAGAAATGTTAACCGGGGAGGGTCCCAATTGTAGTACTAATCAGCAACAATGTTTATATAATCCTGCTGTTTTTGCACAAGTAGCCTTGGCAGCAAAATCAGCTTGGAAGGCACTGGGATCCAGGGGACAGCCTCACCAATCCCTTACAAAAATCCTCCAGGGCCCCTCAGAGCCATTTGCTGACTTTGTAGCTCGCCTTCTAACAGCAGCCTCTAGAATTATGGATGAGGGCGAGCCTACCTCTATACTAGTCAAACAATTGGTATTTGAAAATGCTAACAAATGGTGCCAGGAGGCCATTCGCCCATGGAAGGATAAACAGGATATTTCTGGGTACATACGCTTGTGTAAGGATATTGACGGGGCTACCGTTACAGGCACCATCATGGCGGCAGCTCTGCAGCCATCAGCCCAGCACCCCCCCTCCTTTGCAACATGATTCATTGGACAATAGTTAATAATCCCCCTTTCCTTCTGCAAGTTTCCAGAAAGGGGGGTATTCTCCTGTCACTCTTGTCTACCAATTCCACCACTGGACTTCCTTCTATAGTGTTTTTCAATCTATCGTTCAACAATCAATCCTCCCTCAATTGTAGCTGTCACCTTTCCTCTTGTTGGTCCAGAACCCTCAGCAATTCCTTTGTTGTCATGCATTTCCCTAAGGTCATTATTATGCCTGTCAATGTGTCTGAGTCTACTTCTCAGGTAATCATCTGAAATCGACAAGCCGGTCCGGCATTGGTTGTTGGCGCCTTGATCTCCGTCTTCTCGACTCTGGCAGCTGCAGCCGCAGTGGTCGGCAGCCTAGATCTATCCAACTTCGTACTCAACGCAGATACCAACAACCATCTCCAGTTGGACTACTCCAGAGTCTCCAGCACCTTTCTCACACAAAATTCCATCAACAACCATCTCGCAGTCGGACTACTCCAGAGTCTCCAGCACCTTTCTCACACAAAATTCCATCAACAACCATCTCGCAGTCGGACTACTCCAGTTGAATCCACAAGTTTCCTTAATACAGGAAGAAATTGACTTACTGACTTTAACTGTTCATGTTCCTTGTATTCCTACCTATGCCTTCATGTGTGTTACACTTGCCATCCTTTTCAACTATTCCTTTCAAGTTCATACCCTTAATGCCTACCTGCGCGGCCCGTGGAACCAAACCTTTCTCAATTTTACTGCACAATTGGCTAATCAAATTCTAACCATTGACAACATCCGTGCTTCAGTACAAAATCCTTGGGGGAAGCAATATCACTGCTAGGTACAATCCTCTTCTGCCTGGAAATCATTTTCTACATCCTGTGGTGCCAGTGGAATAGACGTGGTGCCAGTGGAATAGATGAAAAATCTGCAAGTAGCTCTCCAAAACGTGCGCTATTCTCCATTACAGCCCACTGAAAATCCCAGGGTGTGGATAAACACTGCCCTTGACCACCTGTAGGCCAGTGACGGGTAAGATGGTGGTGTACCCGTAGCAACCTAAGACAGCTCCACTATCTTACCTAGGATCCTGGTAGTGGGTGGCTATGACGGGTAAGCATGTGAGTACGACTGCCACAACCTAAGACAGGCCCAGTGTGTGTCCCCCCCCATCAATAAAGTAAAAACGGGGGAGATGTCAGTACCAGGCTTACACCAGCAGGGGGACCTGGGGTGGTGGTCGCTTCCGCCCAAAGATGAGTCACTTCCGCCCAAAGCGGAAGCTGATGCAACAGTAACCGGATGTAGCAAATCCACGTAAAGCGCATGCTCAGGCTTTCCGATACATATAGCCCCTCCCCTCGAATAAAGAGAGTTCCTGCTTCCAGCCAAGAGATTGCATGCGTTTTTTCATCCCCAGCCCCTCTGCCGTGTTCCTGAACCCCGTCGGCCTGCAGGCAGGACCGGCATATGTTAAGTTCAGGCAGTTTTTAAACCATCCTAAAGCAGACACATAGAAAGTTCATCCAACCCCTTTATGCCTGATTTCTCAAATATCCCTGACATATCAAATTTCTGATTAGTCGTCTAGTCTATTACCCCAATCACACAGCAATTTTAAGGCAGCTGAGTTCTAGGTGACATTTATTTGCCACCTAGGACTCTACTGCTACCCATCCTTCTGGGCATGGGTGGGGATTTTGATGTTTGGTTCCAAAGATAGTCAGATCCTCTGGCACTGAAGTTGCCAGCTTTCAGTCCAACTCCACCCTAATAGAGGGTGTTGACTAAGCAAGGGAATTAAGAGTAGAAGCAGCCCTGGGTAAAAAAACAAAAAAAAAAAAAAACAACAGAAACAAAACAAAACAGAACAGACTTCCAATATTCTTATTCAGTAATGTTTTCCATAATAACCACTTTTCACTTAGTGAGATAACTTTCGTTCATTTTCAGAGTCATAAAATATTTTACCAGTTATATTGTTATAGGGAAAGTATATTTGTTGAGCTATTTTTCCACTGTCTCAAAATCTCTGTTTCCAAAGACTATTTTTAATACCTTAGAATGTGCCAGGCACAGGGCTACATTCAATTTATTTAGATTATAACTAACCTTTAAAGCAACTATGACATAAATATTATTATCCTTATTTTTCTAATAAGATGAGATTCAAATAATTTAGCTTGTCAAAGAACAAGCAAAATTATAATTTATACTATATGAATTATATTTGAATTCATACACAAGAAATAAATCCAAACACTTCTTCTTAAATGTAAGAAGTATGAGAAACATACCATGCCTATACATTATTTAGAAAAGAATGGAATACACATTAATATACTTCTGATACTTAAAAAAAAACTATTTGTAGATATTAAAATAATTAGAAACTATTTTCTGGTATGTTTACATTAAATTATTCAATTTTTTAAAGAAAGTGACTTATATTTCATCAGTTTTTTTTTTTATTGTTCTCAATCCCCTTCCTTTTTTTTTTTTTTTTGGTCCAATTCAACCTATACAATAGTAATAGTACTTGTTAAATGGATAGATGAGTTTATATTAAGCTATCATTTTAGCCAAGTGTTAAAATTAATCAGAACAAGTATTTCAATAAAGCATGTGGGGTCAAACAAAATTAAAAAAAAAAAATTTGGAAAGTAAAGGACCATGATTAAGGCAGAAAGTTTAAATGTGATGATTAGAGAGTTCAATGTCAGGCCTCCCTGGTGGTGCAGTGGTTGAGCGCTGGGCTGTGAAGCTGCCTGCAGCCTCTGCAGTGCAGGTTTGATCCCCGGCTGCCGGCGAGGGTCCCACATGGCGCGCAGACCCCTCCTCCTGCTTGCTGCTCCCCTCAGCAATGTATTTCATCAGTCTGCCTTTTCTGTTCCCCACTCTGGCTCTGGTGAATTCTTTCACCCTCTCGCACTTCTGACTGCACCCAGTGCTTATATAAATAAACAAATAAATAAATAAATATCTTTTTTTTTTTAAAAAAGAAAGTTCAATGTCAAAGCTGCTATATGAATATAGTAGCTCAAGCTAATTTTGCATTTATCAACTATAAATAATAAAAATGATGATTTAGAAATTAAACTTTTTCTTTTTTTTAATGAGGTATTGTTGGCTTACATTGCTGTTTGCATTTTGGAAGCATGGGATTCACCCTATCGGTGCTGTTACCCTCTTTCTCCCACCACCCAAATCACCTATGGCCCAACATCATAGTGCATTATTCACCCTCCCTCCCCACCTTGTGCTTTTCCCTACTCTTCACTCTCCCAGCACCTGCAAGACTCTCTCAGTTCTATGGTATACCACATACTGGATGGT